ACCAGCCGACTGAAGAACTTTCTGATTGGCAGCAAACTATGCACAGTGACATCTGGATTCTGACACTTCTGAGGGACCATCTATCTGCGCCCAATTCCCAAGTCTTTGCTGTGACTCTTTTGCCCAGCCTAACTTGCAGCCTATATTGCCTTGAGCAGACCAGCCCCTTTCCAGAGCACTCCACCTAACCCAGTCACTCCTCTGGGGAAAAAAGACATAATTAGGAAACAAAATGTAGCGCAAACAAACAAAAATGTAAAGACAAGCTCATCAAAGGTAGGATTCATGGCTCACAAAACAAATGAAAAGAGAAGTTGAGTTGTGATGTCTTTCACTTGTAATACCCAACAGTTGTGGTTCATCATTTACCTCAAATATGGGAGATCTATATACTTGCTCTTCCACCGAACTATGAAAAAAAAATGGTTTCTTATCTTTCAGGTAAATCTATTTTCCATTTATTTTATTGTATCCCACAATCCTTAGGATTTTGTTACCTCAAAGTTTCTGGATTTATCATTTATGTCAAAACTGTTCCAAAGATTCATGTTCAGTGATGGATTGAAGTGTTCACGGATCAGGTCATAACTATTTTTTCTCTTTTACTCTCTCTGTTCTAAGGTGAAAATGGGAAAATTTACTGTGATAATCTCTGTTTTGTGGCTGATGGTAAAAAATGCTGGAAATCAGACACTGAGGGTGAAGAAATCCAGTTCTGGGTGCCAGCATGCCTCAGCTGAAAAGCTTCCTTCCAGATGTTGGGTGATTCATCAAAGATCAAAGAGCAGAAATTAAATTATTAAATTGATAAAATTTCACTAAAATTAGATAGGCTCTTATAGCTTAGATTTTATTTTTTATTTTTATTTTAGATTTTAGATATAGATGTGAACATATACAGATTGCTAGTAAGTAATGAGGGAAAAACTGAGAGAAAAGCTAAAGCAAAACTTCTAAACTCTAAAGAAATTCAGGTTGAGATTGGATTCACACTTCAAATATAATAAAAGCAGGAACAAACTGGTGTAAATTGAAGTTTCTCTCTTGATTTAAACAGAGGAAACATGTTGTACTGTTGCACATGTTGTACTGTTTGTGGGTTCTTTGCTTTCTTATACAACAAGGCAGCTCTCATCCTTAATTTGAATGGGAGAGTTTATGTAGGTATATTGACACAGTCATAGCAAGTGACATGGGAGTGCAGAGTGTGTTTGCAGTGCTGTTGGGGGCAGGATGCTTTTCATCAGGAGGTCTGTTTCCTCATGTGCAATGAAGAAAACTATAGAAAGGAGTTAAATGTTGAGGTTTTCTCACACTTCTATAATCTACAGCCATTCATTTCAGTTTTACCAAATCAAAATTTTGCCTTGCTTTTGGCTTTTCATAGTGCTGACTGAAAGATATTTTCAAGGAGAATTACTAATCCCAACAAGCTTGGCTGTAGTCCTAATGTAATGCTTGTGCTTAAGTCACTCAGCAGGAGAATCCCTTTAACAGATATTAAATGTCAACCTAGGAGACGAGTAGCCCCTGCTGAAATCAATATCCACTAGCGCAGCAGCCATTTAGTGGTTATTCATTAAAACAGCAGGCTGCTTCTTCTACAGAATTAAAGACAAAATCCTTATAAGAAGTTGATCACTCTGTATTCTCTGCCTTGGAATTTTTGAAAAAAAAAATAAAAAATAAGGGCGGTTTATTAAGAATCTTTCACTATATATGTATATATTTTGGCAGAAGGTGACTTTTACAGCCTGGATGGCTATAAAAATTCTTAGTAGGGTATGCTTGTGTAACATTATGAAAATGTGTAAATCCATCCAAAGGCTTAGCATTCCCATGTATTTATAAGCTGTGTTTGGATTGAAATGAAGTGGAAAATGACCATGAAATTCTACCCCATTCATAAAAATAACAACAGCCAACAGCCTGCTGTTTTGAAGAAAATTTAAAAGATGTTTTCTGAAGGTTCTGTTTTTATGCATATGTTATTTTAATGGAATAAGTGTTATTTGAGTGTATATTCTTATTGGCTGGTTTATATGTAAGAATGAAGTATTATGATTAATAATAATAAGTAGAGGGTGAAAAGGTAAGAGTTCCTGTTTTCATTAGCTTATATCACCCCATTAAATAGGAACTAGAGATAGATTAAAAAGAAAATTATTAATATTTCTAGGTGAATTAATGGGAAGAAAGGCAACAGTCTTTGTGTATAACTGTCACAAAATGGTTCATTTTTTTCCAATTAGAGTGGGAAACAATTTTATTTAGGAAGCTGATAAGTGTGATTGTGACAGTTCCTTTCAAGGGACGTATAAATCAGCCTTTATCCAAAAAGGAACTAATGAAAGGTGTTGGGCAGCAGAGAACTATTATATTGAATATATATTTTAATATATATATACATTATAATCAATTACAGGTTTCTTAATTGATATTATGAAGTCAGAAGGATTTTATTTTAAGTTCATAAATTGGACTGAACGGGAAAGGTGTTTTTTCTTGTTGTTATTCTTTAGTAAGTGTTCCTGTAACTATGTATTTCTTCATGGAGTGGACTTTTCTAATAGTAATTAATTATTAATCTCTGTTCTTTAACAAAAACATTTAAAGTGGATTTAGGAAGTTCTGAACTATTTAGCCCAAACTATTTAGTCCAGATTCCATTGTACCCTAATTTCAAAAGAAAACAAAACAAAGCAAACAAAAAACATGTAATATGAAAGAACATAGTTTAAATTCTGTAATCTACAGGCTTAAAATGCCCTGAAAGTTTTTCACCAACTATAGGTATATGGTGTCTTTCTGTAACAGGAATGTTACACAAAAGGCAGAGATGCTATCTCAATTTCTTTATATGATGCCTTTAGGGCACAGTACAATTTAAGCTTCACATCTTTGGAAATTGAATTAGTATTTCTTAAATAAAACAAAAGTAAATTAAACTGAGGTTGAGAAGATAGCCTGTTTTAAGCATTGAGCAAGGTTGTTATTTAGAAAGAATCATGTAGGTAAAGAGTGGAGGCAGACATAACCCTTATTTTTTATGGTTTGATTTTGATATACAGTAATCAACTGGGTTAGAGATTGAGCTGGCCTTCCATGCACCTGGCCTGTGGGTGACATTCTGCAGGAGGGATTACAGCTGTAGTTTTCTTTGATCTTCTGTCACCAGAGTCCTTTAATTACTCTACCAAACTCAAACAACTGCAGCATTGTTTTAACATCTGGTGGTTAAAGTGTAACAAATCCTGTACCTCTGTTGTGTAGGTGCCCTGAGTAAGCCCAGTGGCATATGGCATCTTAATAAAAGTAGCATGATTTTTGTGACACTCTTTCTAATATAAGTAGGAGTCATGGACGTTCAGCATTATCAAGAGATAAGCCAATTTTTATGTAGAATATAGATATATGTAATATTACATAGGTCTGAAAAAAATTGGCTTAATGACCACTATATATACTTTTTACCCTTTAGACCTAAGAGCTGTTTTTCCTCACTATTAACTTTGGATGCAAAAGGTTTATGAGAAACACTCAGGTGTAGGAAGACTGAAATAAACCTAACAGAAGAATCCTACAGCAGATTACAAATCTGAACCAAAGTCAATTAAATCTTTGTGTTAATGAGAGGAAACACTTAAGCAATAACTTTAGTTCCATGAGTTCAATAAAACTATGATTAGAAATCTTCTTTGGGTTCAGGCTTCCTTGCTGGCTGAAATTTTAAACAAAACTTTAAAAAAAATAAATAAATATATTTATATGAAAATAATTTGACCCTTCTTCCTCCCTCACATCTTAGTTCTATTTTAAATCAAAAAGGACCGTGCTTTAACATCCAATGAAATTATTATGCCTGACTACTTCAAATGATACTTGTAAAAGCAATTAGAAGTCCTTGAATGAATGCATGCTATTCAGTGGCTGGCCTGGCTGGCAATTTGTAGTCTGAGATTTGAAAAGGACACTAAAGAGTAAGACCTGTCACATTGGTCTCTTTGGTACTGATCAATATCTCCTTTCCTAAACTGTGAGTATGACAGAGCAAAAGAACATGTACACAACAGTCAGTCAGAGAGATGATGTGTAATAGAAGTATTTTGATTTGAAGAGATATTTAAAAATAATTCTTAGATGTAGAGCTTAGGGATATGGTTTAGTGGGGACTGTTAGCGTTAGGTCAGAGGTTGGACTCGATGATCTTGAGGTCTCTTCCAACCTAGAAATTCTGTGATTCTGTGATTCCTGAGGCAACTTAGCAAAAGGGTTCACTAATAATTCAATAAGGCTGCCTATTACTAGTAAAATGCATGTAAGGATAGATTTATAACTGGTTATCAGAGAAGCATTAACAAAACAAAATGCAATCAAACAAATGTATGAGGAACCTGGGCCCAGATTTCACCTCTCTCTGAAAGAACTTGTTTTGTTAAAAACAGCCTGTATTCTGCTGGAATACAACACATTTGGTGTCAGCATTCATTAGAGAGATATTAAGATGTTACAGCTTTTTGACTAGTGGAAATGTTCCCAGTACTGTTACAGTAACTTTAGAATATTAGAATGTAAACTGAAGAAGGTAAAGTAAGTGTGTGGCTTTTATACAGATAGATTTTTAGAGGAGGTGGTCTCATATTCATTCATTTCATAGGAGGAAATTCTCATATCTTTCCTGTTATTCATCATCTAACTTGTCATTGTTAAAAGTAGCTGAATTTGCAAAGCATAGATCATCTAACAATGGGCTATTTGCCTTGAAAGTCAAAGGCAATCCAATGGCAGAACATTGTATTGTGGCAGAAGGTTAAAAAAATTTCCCAGTTTTGAGAATATCTTGGTTACTGTTTGGAACACTGAACCCACATGTTAGCCATATGAAATAGGAAAGATTCATAAAAAAAAAAAAAAAAAAAAGCGGAAATAAAATGGGATTAAAAAAAATAAAATATGGTTCCCTCTGCTGTAACTAAAACCACCTTCATTTTGATTCCCAGAACTGGCCACTACAGGAAGAAACATTGAAACATTTCATTCATGAGTGGGATCAAATTTGCTTAATTCCTGCCAAGTCTCCACCAGAAAAGGAATTTCCAACAGCCACTGGAGATAAAGATGGTAAGAGATATGATGTTCTTATTGCTCGAATACACTGCTGTTATTAGGGAGGTAGAAATGAGATTGAAATGATCATTACACAGTATACGACTGAAGAGAGATTAGAGGAGGAAGGCAACACAGATATGCAGCAGAACTGCACTGGCAAGAATCTGAACCCAGAAGAGATGCCGATACGCACACCCCAAAGGGAGTTGGTGGCAGCATGCACCATTTTCTGCTGTCTTCCTCCACCCCTCTGTTGAACTAAATTGATTGTCAGCAAATATCGAAGCAGAAGAAAAGAAAGAAACTTATTTGTCTAGTGGATTAGGGCAAGAGCTGTGAATTAGAAGTTATTTTACGTTTGGCTGGCCCTATGAGTAAAGTTTCAGTACCTAAATCTAGCTATGCTACAGTAGTGGACCACAAGATGGGTGAAGGATTTAAGTAGAGCCTGGACAGAGTATGGGATACACCTTAATTCTGCTTCTTTTCTCCATAAAACTTGTGAAAATGTAAAACATTGAAAAAAATATTGGTACTGCTGGTATCCTAACAGTTCAATGTCATGCATTTCTTCATAAACCACACACAGATTGTCTAAGTAAGGTGCTCCAGTGGCTGGGGACAGCCATGATTTCTTTAAATTATAACAAATGCATTACCATCTGTGTGCATACATAGGAATTTTTATATATGTGTTTATGTGTACATATTTTATCTTTGTTTTGTTACAATGTTATAGAATGTTGTATGTAGAAAAGCCTTGTAAGTAAAAGTGTCAAAGTCACTCCTTCTATTGCTGGGAAGTGTATATTCAATGAGATAGCTTTTTTTTTTTTCCCAATTGCACCTCTGATTCACTGAGAATGATTTGATAAGAATTAGAATGGATTTCAGTCTTAACCAATTCACGTCACTGCTAGATTTGGTCCCCAGTGTATAAAAATAGAAAATAGAATCAGATTAGATTGCTGCATTTCCCTGTTTATTAGCCATTATTTCTCATTGTATTGTTTGTTTCATTTGTTTGTTTTGCTTTTTGCTTCCTGACAAGGCTATTGAAGACTGCCTACAGAGAAACCACTTACTCAAATTGCTCCTTGTGGAGGGAAGGCAGTTTTAGAAATGAAGCTTGGAGAGCTAAGCAGCAGATTCTGACTTCTTTTCTGTATGCAGAACCTTAACTGACTTTGTTGCCAGTTCTGCAGACAGCTGGGGATGTATTCAGTACCCTTGTGCAAATTTCAGGTTGTGAACAAAGGGAAGATGATGGTTTTATCTCAGGAGTTTTGGATTATTAATGTTATTTGGGCACAGAGCTGGGTTTCTCCTAATACTTGATAGAAATTTTATCCTTTCTCTTTTATAAATAGAAGATTTGAGCAAGCATGGAAATGCAGGGAGGCAGCAGAGGAAACAGCTGTGGTGGCTGAAACAGGACCAACACAAGCCACAGGAGAATGCTAATAATGTCTTCCCCACCTCACTACTAAAGTGTTTGACCAAGCACTCAGGCTAAAGCTAGACTCCTTCAAAATGACAGGCCAGCAAACCCACTCTTACCCTGTTGAAAGACCATTATTATCTCCCTCTGATGCACTATAAAAGCCTGAAATTTTAGATTTCTTTAGATGTCTTGAGTGTCTAAACAAGTCAAGAAAGTTCTCCTGAGGGGGTCTCTTGAGTACACAAAGAGCATTTGAGGTTCCCAAGTACTTGGTTAAGTTCCTGCCTTTGAGCAGTGATGAAATCAGACCAAAAGGCTATGGAAAGCTTTGCTTTATAGTCGATTACTTGTCATCAAGGTGGAGTCAGCAACTCAAAGACAAAATGTTCACCGCTAATTAGAAAAGGATTATGACAAACTGACATGTTTTTGTAGCTGGAAAAAGGCTGAGTATGTGGCCTTGTAATTATTCTTACAATGAAATCAAGTAGCAATCAGTGGCAGCATGCTTTCTGTTTTTCAATACTGTCAAATACAGATTCAGAATCTTCAAATCTTTGTTCCTCTCCTCCCTCCCTTTTTAAGGTATCCCTTAAAAAAGGGATACCTTTTTTACCCAGAAGTAGCATTGGACTATCTGTGGATCTAAATGCCTGGCACTGAAACATCCCCTCTAGACAATTTTATATCTGGAAAAGCAGATAGCTCAGCCTTGAAAACCGAGGCATAGCCAGCCCAGAGAAAAAAACTATATAATTCTTGTCTCCCTGTGTTAGAGGGTACCTTCTAGGTTAGGTTAATATCTAACTTTTTACCAGACAAAACAATTATACAGCTAAGAGCAGAAACGATATATGATTTTTGTGTATAAAACATTTGGTTTAATTACAGGATAAAAATAATTTTTCTCAGGTTCTCTGACAACCTGAATTCTGTACATTAGGAAATTTATATAAACATTTTATTTCTGCCATCTATACTTTTCTTACATGCTCTCCAGTCCTTCTAACTGGTATCAGAAGGGCTGCTGACTCTGTGTGCTCCTCCTCTTCTTGTTATCAGGGATAGTTTGAATGAACCCCCAAGGAATTCAAGACATTTGGTAACTATATATATTTTAATAAGTTAATTCTGCAGCTATTGAACATAGCCAAAATACAGGCTTTATTATTTATTGCTCAGGAAAAAAAATAATAAATGTAACTTTCTGCATCACTTTCTTCCAATGTGTTTGCCTGTCATCAGTTATGTGTTACATTACTGTTTTTCCTAAGGCAGTTGTTGATTAGGAAAAGGACACTAAATTAGGTGATACAATGAAAACTAAGAAGAGGATGCACCTCTCTTCTGTGATGGAACTTGTGCAGTACAAAAACCTATGTGCTGGGTGTCACCGATCAACTGTGGTCTTAATCAAAAGAATATGAATTTTTCCACCTCTTAAAGACATTGTTTGGATTTCTAGTCATTGTTATGCTGAAGCAGATGAGTTGTCTCCATACTTTAGAACAGTGTCTTGAACTTTCACTAAAAAGGAAGAGGCAGGGGAACAGCCAATAATAGGGTAATATTATCAGAGATTGATTCACAACTAGCAAACGTGACACCCATCTACAAGAAGGGCCAGAGGGCAGACCTGGAAAACTATAGGCCTGTCAGTTTGACCTCAGTGCCAGGGAAACTCATGGAGCAGATTATCTTGAGTGTCATCACATGGCACTTACAGGGCAACCAGGTGATCAGGCCCAGTCAGCATGGGTTTATGAAAGGCAGGTCCTGTTTGATGAACCTGATCTCCTTCTATGACAAAGTGACATGCTGGGTGGATGAGGGAAAGGCTGTGGATGTGGTCTACCTTGACTTCAGCAAGGCTTCTGACACCGTTTCCCACAGCATTCTCCTCAAGAAACTGGCTGCTTGTGGCTTGGACTGGTGTACGCTTCATTGGGTTAAAAACTGGCTGGATAGCCAGGCCCAAAGAGTTGTGGTGAATGGAGTCAAATCCAGCTGGAGGCCGTTCACTAGTGGCATTCCCCAGGGCTCGGTATTGGGGCCAGTCCTCTTTAATATCTTTATTGATAATCTGGATGAGGGGATCGAGTGCACCCTCAGTAATTTTGCGGATGACACCAAGTTAGGTGCGTGTGTCAATTTGCTCGAGGGTAGGAAGGCTCTGCAGGAGGATCTGGATAGGCTCGACTGATGGGCTGAGGTCAACTGTATGAAGTTCAACACGGCCAAGTGCTGGGTCCTGCACCTGGGGCGCAATAACCCCAAGCAGAGCTACAGGCTGGGAGATGAGTGGTTGGAGAGCTGCCTGGCAGAGTAGTACCTGGGAGTATTGGTGGATAGTCGGCTGAATATGAGCCATCAGTGTGCTCAGGTGGCCAAGAAGGCCAACAGCATCCTGGCTTGCATAAGAACCAGTGTGGCCAGCAGGTCTAGGGAAGTGATTGTCCCCCTGTACTCGGCGCTGGTGAGGCCGCACCTCAAGTACTGTGTTCAGTTTTGGGCTCCTCACTACAAGAAGGACATGGAGGTGCTCGAGCGAGTCCAGAGAAGGGCGATGAAGCTGGTGAGGGATCTGGAGAACAAGTCCTACGAGGAGTGGCTGAGGGAGCTGTGTTTGTTCAGCCTGGAGAAAAGGAGGCTCAGGGGTGACCTTACCGCTCTTTATAAGTCCATTAAAGGAGGCTGTAGCAAGGTGGGGGTTGGTCTATTCTCCCATGTATCTGGTGACAGGATGAGGGGGAATGGGCTAAAGTTGCGCCAGGGGTGTTTTAGGTTGGATATTAGGAAGAACTTCTTTACTGAGAGGGTTGTGAGACATTGGAATGGGCTGCCCAGGGAAGTGGTGGAGTCACCATCCCTGGAGGTCTTTAAAAGACGTTTAGATGTTGAACTTAGTGATATGGTTTAGTGGAGGACTTAGTGTTAGGTCAGAGGTTGGACTCAATGATCTTGAGGTCTCTTCCAACCTAGAAATTCTGTGATTCGCAGAGTTTGCTGGAGAATGTTTTGTTGCCTGTAGCATGAGTCATTATGCCTGTAACAGATCACCCCCTGATGGAAATCAATGGTTTTATGCCATTTTGTTTCAGCTGAGAATATGATATTTGGCAGAATTTATAGTGCCTCTTTATTTTCAGTCTATTTTTTCCTTACTGAGTTGTACTTAATTGCTTTAAATAAACATGCAGTACTTTCTCTGAATCATATTAAGAGATTGGCTTCTACAATCTGTCAAGACAATAAATACTAGATGTTAATTTTGTGTGATATGCAATTTTGTTAGTGGACAGACTTAAATGTAATATACTTCGATATAATTGAGTCCATCTGTGTTGCTGTGTTCTATGAAAATGTACACAGAATTTTTTGTCTTACCTTCTGTCTGTATCACAATACATTTTAAATGCTATTATCATAGCTCATCTTAATTGAGAGTATTCATATTTTCTATGTTTTTGATTAAATTAGCCAGATGGGCACATCTGTGTATTCAGCTATTGGTGGAAATAGAGACTACTCCAATTAGAGTGAGGTGTTTTGCTGTTGATGTTGTTTT